TTGCAATTCTGAGAACAAAAGTCAAAATAGCAAGATATTAACTCAAAATTCTGACATTTTTTTCTCACGATTCTCACTTTTTTCTCTAAATCATGATTTTAAATCTCACAATTCTCACTTTTTTTCCCTCTAAATCATGATTTTAAATCTTCCAATTCTCACTTTTTTTCTCTAAATCATGATTTTAAATCTCGCAATTCTCACTTTTTTTTCTCTAAATCATGATTTTAAATCCCGCAATTCTCACTTTTTTCCTCTAAATCATGATTTTAAATCTTCCAATTCTCACTTTTTTCTCTAAATCATGATTTTAAATCTCACAATTCTCAATTGTTTACTCAGAATTCTAATTTTTACATCTTGCCATTTTACATTTTGCTCTGAATTCAGATTTTTACGTCTTACAATTCACTTTTTTTCTTGCAATTCTGAGAACAAAAGTCAAAATAGCAAGATATTAACTCAGAATTCTGACATTTTTTTCTCACGATTCAGATTTTTTTTTCTCTGATTCATGATTTCAAATCTTGCAATTCGGACTTTTTTTCTCCGAATTTTACTTCTCACAATTCAGATTTTTTTTTTCTCTAAATTGTGATTTTACGTCTTGCATTTCTGACTATTTTGCGCAATTGTGAGTTAATATCTCGCAATTCCGACTTTTTATCTCAGAATTGTGAAACTTGGGCGAAACATGGTGGAAATAAGCTTTCATACTGAGGACGTAAGATTTCTTGCATAACATCTTTTATTTATTCTTTCCATTTCCATTTTCTCTGTGTGTGTGTATTTGTATTCATCTTCATGAAGTGCCACTCTTTTCTGTTCTTTGTGTGTCTCAGCATCATTAATGCAAATGTCTTCCTATACTCACTAATATTCACCGCACTTTTGTTGTCTCATTGTGTATTTTATGAATATGTTGTCCACCTAAATTATGCCTGCTGTCAGTCTCCTTTCAATTCTTGATGATATTCCTGTGAAAAGTTTCCAAACCCTTTCAGAGGATTAATTCATTGTACATGTTGTACAATGTGAATTGTGTGTGTTTCGTTATAAATATGTGTTTATGTGTGCATCATTTTCCACAAGGTGAATCCTGGAGTCATAGCCATAGATATTGCATTTTCATAAAATAAAACTGAGTTTAATATGTGTGTGTACTGCAGCACCTTGTCTGGAGTACGGCGTGAAATTCGAGACGCACATTGTGGAGAAGTTTGGTGTGTCTTTTGGACTTGAGGGTGAGACGCTGAGTTTCGGCTGCTCTGTTATCATCTACCCATCACTGCAGCGCTTCCAGCCTGAGATAGAGTGGTACAGAGATGGTAAGAGCAACAATAATAGTAATCTCTTGCAAAATTGATGCCATCAGATAATATGCCATCTTGAAATCAATTTATCATGCATATTTAATCTTTACTTCTTGCAAAGTGGTGTATACACTACCAGTCAAAGGTTTGGAATAATAATGATTTTTTAATGTTTTCGAAAGAAGGCTCTAATGCTCACCAAATCTACATTTATTTGATAAAGAACATAGTAAAAGTGTAAAAATCCTCACTTGCAAATATATCAAAAATAAATGTATTCACATACAACGTTTCGGTCCAACGTCCAATGACAAACAGCAAAAACGTTAATATTGAGAAATATTATTGCAATGTAAAATAACGTTTCTATTTGAATATATTTTGAAATGTAATTTATTCATGTGATGCACAGCTGAATTTTCAGCATCATTACTCCAGTCTTCAGTGTTCAGTTATTTATAATGGTTCTGATTATTATCAATGTTGAAAACTGTTTTTGCTGCTTAAAACGTATGTGAAATCATTATACTTCAGGATTCTTTGACGAATAGAAAGTAAAAAAAACAGCATTTATTTGAAATAGAATCTTTTGTAAC